AAAGATGATATAATGTCTGCCTTGAGCACTATACACGATTCTTAATCAAATTGACAACAGCAACTCAAAAGGTTAAGAGAAAAAACTGATGAAAAATTAATTTGGAAAAGGAGAATGGTTATACAACTCGAAGAATGTAATCAATGTCAATGAACTACTTTGCTGTGAAAACATTTTCCATAGCAAGAAAAAGTAAAAAAAGTTTTCAATGTACATAATCCACGAGTTTAAGAGTATCTCTTAAGAATTCTATCTTTGAAAAAAATTAACAAGCATGCTTACCAGGACTTATGTAATAGGTGAATTATACAACTAAAAAAATAACATCCTACATGCCAGGTAAATTATTCACAACACAAAACGTTTACTCCCAAAATGCATCAGCTCATGTTTGGTGATGGAAAAGAGGGGGCAAAAAGATTTGTCAGTGTGAAAATGGTGCAAATTGTAAGAGGATTAGCACTTCTAAACAGTTCTTCACAATTCACTTAGCAAACATGAGCAGAGTAAATACTGAATAGCAATTAGAATCTTTTGACCCACAAAGATGGAAATAGCATTGCCTTGCTCAAAGATGGCAGGCTATCATGTAGCTTTAAATGTGTCATGCTCCACAGATCTGCCAACGGGCTCCTGGAAAGGGATCACCACACCTCTGCAGGGATTCAACCTAAAATTTTTCCCATTTCCACGATTGCTCTGCTTCATCTAAAATTTATGTCTGTTCTAATGTTACGTCACTGGCCATGAGTGAACCAGTTCAAAGCCATATAAAGCTGTATACGCATTCATCAGGTCTTTAGCCTTGGTGACCACAGGAAGGTGGGACTTGAGAGGCGGCAGGCTGTGCAAGAGCCACTATTTTCTGTAGTTTTCCATATTGTCTTATGTATTAAAAAGAACGAATCACCTGTAATTTGTCTTTACATTAATTAGTAAAAACAAGACCAATTTAAAATAGCAGAGTAACAACTTAAAACACTTTACAAGGAATTGTTATTGTCCGCACGGTTTTAAAGCAAATAGCCAGGCGTTTCTTCTGTGTCCTTCCTGGGTGGATACAAGTTAATATCCAAAGACAAACTGCGTGTGGTCTAAGCAATACTGAGTCTTTAGCTTTTGAGTGCTCATGGTCCTTGAATTTCATCAACTGGCCCCACCAAGATAAAGCTAATTACAATTATATGCTAATCGAATCTCAAGAATCAAAGTTAAGTCAAAATGTTGAATAGGTCAATATACTGCAATTTAATGTTTTCTCTGTATCTGAAATCCTGTTTTTAAGAAGGTTGTTTTAAAATTAACTAGCACAGGAATCATACCTCAATCTGATGGCAGATTTTGGCTTCCAGCTCAGCCATTTTTTCACTGTCACCATTCTCGGCCATTGTGGCTATCTGAAAAATTTCCTAAATTGGTATAAAGAGGTTATTATTTTGATTATTTTCACATAAAATGCAAGATCAGAAAAAGGATGTTTTAAGGCTATCAATATCAAGGTTTTTCCCCTTAAAAACATGAGTTTCTAATCCTACAGTTTCAATTTTTCTGGTCAATTTTCAAGTATCTCAACAAGGCACAGCTTTGGAATAAGTTCACTGCTACAGAGTTGGTTCCCATTCATAACGATCTCTAGGCAGAGTAGAACTGCCCCGCGGGTTTGAGGGTACAACTCTTTAAGGGAGTAGAAAGCCTCATCTTTCTCCCACAGAATGGCTGATGGTTTCAAACCACTGACCTTGTGGTTAGCAACCCAACTCATAACCCCTATGCCACCAGAGCCCAAGAATTCGGGATACAAGGTGGAAAATTGAGAAAATGATCAAGAATTTACTCTTTCAGTATTACTACTTCACATTCACCAACAAAGCCACCTTTTAATCTCATTCAGCTTGGGGGAGGAGGTCTCTAATCAAACACGGTCATTTGTAGCTTTAAGCAGATCACTTTAGTATTACTGTCCTATGAGTCAGATATGAGTTACAGCATTTTAAAAGTATGC